AGATAGACACTTCTGTTGAAAACACAGGGGATCTGTTGAACGAACCCCTGAATGGCAGAGATGGGTTACAGGGGAGCAGTAATTTGGAAATGGAGAGGATAATTCATTCCAGGGAAAAAGCATCACAAACATGAAGACAGACGCAAAGTTAATGGCAGGAACTTCCCTGTAACTGGTGCACACACTGCAGGGAGCAGTGCAGCATAAGATCGGCATGATGACGTGTGTTAAGCGAGGTTGTAAAGAGACTGTCTTCATTTGACTGCAGTGGGGCAAGCTGTGTCCTGCACAGAAGCTCCTCCTTTGGGCTGAATTTTCTATGGGCCAAGCTCTACTTGCCAAACCACTCACCTTCCTCCACAACTGCTCCAGAGAAGGAAATTCCTTTCTGTAATTCTGCACAGACCCCTCCCAAGAGAGAGAACCCTTCTCTAAGCCATTTACCTGAGGGATGCATTTTTTATTGGCTCTGAGTAGAATGATAATCAAGTGGCCTGCTCCAGGCAACTTCACTGACTTTAATATAGGTGATAATCTAGAATGAGGAGACCAGCCCAGTAAGAAGAGAAAGTTACCAGCAGAACAACGTCCTAACCTGAGCAGCCAAGAACAAAAAAGATCAATTCCAGAAGTGAGCTCTGTGGTACAATTAACTCTTGGATGGTTTCTGGACACAGGGATGATGGGATAGGGAAGAGGTGAAGGTGATTCAGATTTATACTTCACTGTAATCCCAGAATAAAACCTTACCACAATTAATGTTCAATCAGCATTTGTCAAATTTAAAAAGTAGTAAAAATAATTGCATGTCTGCTGAGTTGGAACCCACAGGAACTCACGGGAAACAGTACCTCCAATTATCTTAAGCCTGCAAGATGTGAAGTGGGTTGCTGAGTTCAAAGAACTGACCTAGAACTTAAGTTACTCCCGTGCAGTGGTATTCAGTCTCGGCTGAACATGCAAATCACGCGAGAAGCTTATAAAATTCCCAATGCCCATTCTGGGTCAATTAACTCAGAAACTCTGGGATGAGACCCAGGCATCATGTTTTTAAAGCTCCCACGGTGATCCCAATATATAGCTAATTGCCCCCAAGGAACTCTGCAAGCCCTGTTCCAGATACCTAGACAGGATCATTAACACAGCATAGACAAGACATGGGACGGAATGGTTTAACCCATTTCACCGTCTGGTCACAGTCAAATCTCCCATTTCTTATGAAATCTTTTTACATTGTGACTAGTTCTTCAAACTTCATTCCTAGTTCTTAGCAAAATATGAAAAAAATTAAGAAATCCATTATCTGGCTCCATTGATTTTAGGAAGCTGAACTGTGGGGAAAACATGTTTAAAATAGGACTATTTTAAAGGAATAATTAAATAATGAATTGCACAAAGTCCTGAAAATTATTTTAAGACTCTTCATTTGCCGCTAAGGTTATATGTGTGCCAGGAATCAAAAGGACCAAATGTGGTAGGAAAATAAGCACAAAGTTTTAAAATAATTTAAGGATCAGAATAAGGATACAATAGTTCTCCTCTGCCCTCAGGGGATGTGTTCTAGGACCTCCAGTGTATGCAAGAAACCACATATAATGCTAAATCCTGGGTTTTTTCCATATATACACACACACCTGTGATAAAGTTTAATTTATAAGTTTGACACAGTTTGACAGTGAAAAATAATAAAACAATTTTAACAATATGTATATGTAAAGTAAAATTATGTGAATGTGGCATTTCTCATAAAATATATTACACCATACACATTAATGGCAGGCAGAGGATGTAGCATGCAAAGGTCTGATTCACATTCCAAGTGGGATGGAGTGGGATAGCATAAGATTTCCCCCATGCTGCTTAGAATAAAAAGGAATTTATAATTTATGTATTGTTTATTTCTGGAATTTTCCCCTTTGTATTTTTAGACTATTGTTGACTGTAGGTAACTACAACTGGAAAGTAAAACTTTACATCCGAGGGCCTACTATGTCTAGTAGAGTAGAAACACTGTTAGATAAAAAAGAAAAATCAAAAATCCTAGGAAAGGTAAAGGCTCTGACCCTGGAGCTTTCTCACTGGGCCCTGCACTGTGACTGAGAAAGCCCCTTTTCTTTTCTAAGGTACCTTTTCCTTCTCTATAATGAGCACGCCCACCATGTTAGATACAAGTCCTCTCTAGCAGCTGGACCTTCTCTCATTCTATCATTTTTAACTCAAGTTGAGCAGACTAGATAGAATATAAACCTTGACTTTGTTGAGGGAAAGCCAAGAAGAGCATTGCTAACCACAGGGTGATTCAAGGACCCATCCCAGGCCTTGGCTGTTTATTACTAATCCACAACAGATAAGAATTTTATAACTGAGATTTAGAAATGTTTATAGTAATTTAACAATCTCTGTTGAATCACATAATAAAATATGGATGCCTATACTTTGTATATGTTTGTATTTTTATTTCATGTTTCTAGAAATAAACTTTATTGTATAATTCTATAACAAATTAGAAATGTATAAAATTTAGTCTTTCTTTCCAGGTGGTTTGGAGTGCAGCAAAAAGATGAACCATGGTTACAGTTAAACATCTGTGCAGTTGTGCATGGGGAAGGGCAAGAAGGAGTGCAGACAAATTAATTTTTATCTTGCCCATTTTGAATTTTATTATAAAAGCTCCTTTCACTTGATCTTACATTACTCTTACTAGAAGATGCTTTCTGTAATAAGCGTATATGAACTGCTAGGAATTCTTAAAAGACCACAATCTGTTTTTTTGTTGTTTTTTGTTGTTTTGTTTTGTCTTTTCTTCTGATACCAGGAATCAAACTCACAACCTTGCACTTGCCAGGCAGGCGCTTTGCCGCTGAGCTAAATCCCCAGCCCCCACAATCTGTATTAGAAAACATGTGGTAAAATTTTAGTTTAGTGGTACCAGTTCATCTTCTAAGAAAAACCACAGTATAACAAGTCAGGTAACACAGAGAAGTTATTAATTCCTTGTGGGAAAGGTAACTATTTTTCTTCTTAAGAGAATTAAGACACACTTTTCAGATTGGGAAAGCTAATCATAGGGTTTTGAGCTATCAACATAATGATGCCCTTGTTTAAATATAAAGAAGTCCAAGAGAAGAATTCAGTTTTCTAAGAACACACAGTTAGCAAATAGGAAGCTGGGGTTCAAACCCCATGCTCTGTTCGCAGACTTGCCTGCACTCTTCTTGCTTTTCTGGACGTGTTTGCCATACAAAATGTTCCGGTGGGAACCGGAGACTGAATGCTTATGTAAGCTCCACTTTCAGAAATGCTGAAATAGGGCCACACACATTAAACTAATATGGAGTGCTTATGATTCTTCTCAATATATAAGTATCCCTGATTCTATTTGGAGATTTCTGCACACAGCCAAGATCAATGTTTGTCCAAAACTGATTTACACATTACACAAAAAATATAGGAAAGAAAAGTCAGTGCTGTCCACACCAGCTGTTTGATGTAGAGGCTGTTTTGATTTCAGTTACTAATAAATGTTTTCCAAAAGCAAACCACCTTGGTCCTAAAAAGGAGACCAGGGAAATATCAATTCAAAATACATGACTATCCCTGAGAAATACCAAGTCTTTGCAGAGATCTTATCATCACTGTGAGGAATCCAAAAAGTGTACTGATTGGTCTAATACATGGCTGTTCAATAAACAAAATAACATTGCTAGTTCATAGAAATACTTGCATGAAAACTTGAAATTAATTACTTGATCTCCCATCTACACATACTGGAAAAATACATCTTTTAGAAATTATGAACAGTACAAATGTTTAAGTCTATATTGGTAACATTGCTTAGTTTGAGATTGAGAATATAGTGCTTATTTGGCTTTGTTATTATACCCTAATAGATTAACAGTATGTAATTCTGGTTTGGTTTGAGAGAGTGGAATACTCTAAAACACGCAACGAAACATTTTCTCTTCCTTGACCATGACTGTGACTTTTGAAAAGCAGAAAATAAGTAATCCCTCAATTCCTAGCATCACCGATTTTAAAGTTAATATTTGATAAAGGAACCAAGCTATAGATATTGAAATCAGCTGGGGAGGTGCGATGGGTGTGTCCACTTTAATAGCAGGAATAACTGAGGCTGAAAAAAAACTCACTTTATTTTAAGATAAATTTTAAGTATGGAGGTTTGACCTGAGATTACTATGCCATTAGTTTTAAATCTTCAGGGTAGAACAAGAAGTCATTTCTTAAAGTGAATCTGCAACTATGTGAAAACTGAGTCTGCCTTGATTAGAACGTGCACAGCCATAAGACTTGGTCTTGAGGTACAGATGATGCACAACCGTGATGCTGCGGACATGTGAGAGACAGTAAAGAAATAGAGAAATAAAATCTATTTACACAAAGTTTCACTGGAAACAAAAATTGATTGAGTTTTGCCCAAAGTGGCGTGTTGTTTCCTGTGCCAGGAACTACCGTGCAGGCCCAGCAGGAAGTGCGCTACAGAGGGGGATCACCTTACACCCTTGTTTTATGGTTCATTTCACTTATTTAATGCAATCTGAGAACCTGCAAAAGGAGCATGTTTGAAGGAGGGAATAGGCTTTTTGTCTTGTTTTGTTTTAAGTTTCTTTGAATCAAAACATTTGTTTTTACAAGGTGCTCGAAATCCCAGAGAAACTGGACTTCTAGCGTTGCCTGGCAAAGACATTTCTCTTTGTCACAAAATTTAAAGCAAGACACAAAGTTGAGTTATGTCTGAGTTCAGTTGTCTGTTTCCTTTGCTGTCCTTCTGACGTGATTTCGAATGTGAAGAATTATAACTGTCCCCATGAATGGTCTAAAGCCTCGTGAATTCCATGCAAGCTTTTCCTAGGGTCTCTAACTTGATAGAAGTGCCCACGATTTGGCCAGAAGGGGGTTGGATGTATTTTAAATAGAAAATCACAATTTATTTGCAAGCTAAGGAATGAGTTCATTGTACTGTATTGCTTGGAAATGTGTGAATGGAACAGCTGGATTTCCTTGTGGTGGCAGATGCCCCTCCTCACACACTGTCTGTCTTCCTCTCCAGAGACCTCAGTATGAACAACATCAGTCAGCTGCCCCTGGGTCCCCTGCACAACCTCCGCTTCCTAGAGGAGTTGTAAGTATCGCTGTGGTGTTGATGTGCCCAGTCAACACTGGGTGCATTCTTGTGTTCGTGTCTCATGCTTGCTGTAGGAAGCAGATAAAACACAGCAGAGAAGCTGTCAGCACCAACCACTTTGGCACATGAGGAAACACTTAGCTGGAGTGGCTGGGGGGGTTGCTTATGATTCTGGAAATCAACTTATAAAAGCGTTTACCATGAGGCTACAACTTTCTAAGGTGAGACTGAGCCAAACAAATTAAAATTTTAAAACAAAGCCTGTTTAAAAGAGCTGGATAGCTCTTTGGAAATAGTTAAGCAGCAGGATATTAAAAGTTTGAATACTGGTTCATGTTTATTAAAATAGCAAGTAAAGCTATAATCAAAACCAAAAACTGCTGCTTGGTTGAGCTTATAACTGGGGGAATTGAGTCCACATTGCATGGTACCAAAACGTCTCCTAATCACTTTTAATTACTCTCTCCCTGCTTTTAAATTTAGCTCCCTCAAGGCTTCAACACAACAAGAAATCCACAGGGGACTTAAAACTGGGCTCTCCTAAATTTACTATAAAAAAATTAAGGAATTAAAAAAGAGGGGAGCTAAAATTAGTTAATGATATACAGAGGAACCTTGATTAAGTATAGTAATCACTTTACAGAAGATGAAAAAGAACTGTATAAACCAAAAAATTTGCATTTAAAAATTTATTTGATCCTCTTACCCGGTAGAATGAGGGCAGTGATACACACCCATAGCCCTCTTGGAGGATGGTTGGCACCACTGGTTGAGTCAACTCTCTGATTGTTGATTAAAGGAAATGTTCAGGCAGTGACCTCTTTTGAAAATACTTCCTTTTTAAACCCTAATGTCAAGGCCCAATCTGGGAAGTGATTTAAATTTTTGATTCACCACACAATCCACCACACAATCCACCACACAGTCTACCATGCAATCTACCACGCAGTCCACCACACAGTCCACCACACAGTCCACCATGCAATCCACCACACAATCCACCACACAACCCACCATGCAGTCCACCACACAGTCCACCA